GACTTATGCACAGTGAAACTATTAAAGGAAAATAAAAGATAACATAAAGACCAAGCCTCAGACTCTGGAAATCTTGGGTTCCAGTCTTACCTGTAACATATACAAGTTGGGTGGACTAGAGAATGTGGTATAGTGGAAAGCACACAAACTGTGGAGTCAAAAAACCTGGGTTCAAATTATGCCTCTGACACTTATTACCTGGATGACCTTGAACAAGTTACTTAACCTCCCTGGGCCTCAGTTTCCTCATTTGTAAAATGAAACGACTGAATAAGATGTTCTCTTCCAATTCCAAATCAATGATTCTATTTAAACTCCTGCTGTAGTCAACTTTCTTAGATTCCAAGTTGCAGAAGAGGTATAGACCTACATTGGTAGAGGAAGTTTCCTTTATTGAGAACTAGTTCATAGTTGCTTTCATTAGAGGTGTGCCCCCAAACAACCCTAAGTTCCTTTTAAATGACATATTGGGATGTAAGATTGAACTGGATTTACTTCTTATTTGGGCCCAAGAATACATTTTTCCCATAGATTTTATTTCAAGTCTTACTTTAAAAAAAATTACCGTGACCATAGAATTTTTTAAACCAGCTTTGAGAATACCACAAAAATCCTATTTGAATGCCTCATTGTGGGGTGGAGATAATCTGTGTTCTCAAAATTGATGCCAGTAGAACACAAATTCTGGCAGGTTGTATTCAGCTGAAAATGTTAAGAAAATGGCTCCAGAGATGGGACTGTATGTTTCTTTCCCAGAGACCAATCTGAGGTGAATTTATGGAGGTTCATTGCCAGATTGGTCAAGTGTGGGGAATTCTTTGACAATAGTGATTCCCAAAGCATCTCTACATATTGCACTTCCCACAGTAACCATTCTAAACCTTCTTTTAAAGCCTCCTTTAACCCCCGTTTTCCCCATTCTCTGATGAAGATCTCATTTCATAACTTAGAAGTCATTCCATCCTAATACCAACTGTCCCTATTCTTCCTTTACTCTAGTCTGATGAAAATGTGGTTCTTTTTGGCATTGAAATCTAATCCTTGTTCCTATAGGCTCTGGAAGATTGCCTCCATGATTATCCCTCCATTTCTCTCTAATTTTCAATTTTTCCCCATCTATTGGTTCATTCTCTGCTATATACAAAATACTGGGTAAGAGCTCTGGACTTGGAGTCAGAAATATGTGTGTTTAAATCCTACCTCAGACACTTACTAGTTGTGTGACCCAAGGCAAGTCACTTAACTCTCTGTGCCTCAGTTTCCTTATTTGTAACATAGAGATAATAATAGCACCTATCTCACTGGGTTATGAGGATAAAATTGAGATAAGTATAGAACTTTATAAGCCTTCAAGTGCTAAATAAATGCTAGGTATTATTTTAAAAGCTGCTTATTTTCTTTTATCACTGCAAATCTGGCTTCAGGCCTCATTGCCTAACTGAAACTACTTTGTGAAAAATTACCAACAATCAAATCTGAGAGCATCTTTTCTGTCTTACTGATTTCTCTGAAGAATTGGACACTTGACCACTGTCTCCTGAATACTTTGTCGTCTCTGAATTTTTCCTGACTTGGCTAACATAGTACTTTAAGGTTTGCAAAGCATTTTCCCTTTAATAATTTGTTGTAGAATTCTGCCAGGAATCAAAGTTTACCAGCATTTCTCCCTTTTAAAAAACTGAGACATTTGCCCTGTTTTCTTATTCTCTTTAGTCTTTTAAATCATACTGTGTGTGGCTTGGTCGTCACATCTTCCAGTTCTCTTGGTACCCTGGAATGTAGGTCATCTCTGCCTGATGAATTGTATTCATCCAGAGCAGTTAAGTGTCCTTTCACTTATTTATCTGCTTATTTCTTTTGACTTTTAACTCCTTATTAGCTATTTTCATTCTGTCCAAAGACCACCTTCCTTGGTAGAAAAATTAGAACCTAAATAAGAATTAAGCACTTTATATATTCTCTGTCTTTTGTCATCATTATCCCCTCCAATCTCAGCAATGGTTCTGTCCCTTTTAAGTTCTCTTCTTTTTGTTTAAACAAAAAAAAAACCCCAAGCCAAACAACAAAAACAAGCATGCTTTTTCTTGTCTTTAGCTTTCCTCTTAACTTAACTTAGCTCATTCTGTGCTTTAGCACTCATGGCACTATTCATGTAAGACATTGCATGGTTTCAGATTTATCTTTTATGACTTGATCCTACCGCCATCTTTTTTTAAAAATTATACATATATATTTTCAATGAGTAAAAATTCGTTTTCACCCTCTACAATTGAAAATGAAAGAAAAACTAAACCCTTGTTACAAATATGTATAGTCAAAGAAAACAGATTTCTGTGTTTGCCATGTCAAAAAAAATGTTTCATTCTACACTCCCAGTCCTTCACCTCTTTATCAGAAAGTGGGTAGTATGTTTCATCATTAGTCCCCTGGAATCATAGTTTGTCATTACGTGAACCCTAGTCCAAAGTCTTTCGCAGTTACTTGTTTTTACTGTATTATTGTCACTATATAAATTATTCTCCTGGTTCTGTTCATTTCACTCTGTATCAATTCATACAGGTCTTCCCAGGTTTCTCTGAAGCCATCCTGTTCATCATTTTTTATAGCACAATACTATTCCATCATATTTTTATACCATAATTTCTTCAGCTATTTCCCAGTTGATGGATACCCCATCAGATTCCAATTCTTTGCCACCTCAAAAAGAGCTCTAAATATTTTTGTACATCCATAGTTAGAGTTTGTTTTGCTGAGGACTAAATCCTCTTTTAAATCTACCCCCTTCTCCCCATTCCCTCTTTTTTTCCTGGTGCATAGCCTTTCCCTGCACTAGAGAGTTCCTTAGGCATGGTCCTGGCCAGATCCTATCCCCAGTATCTGCAGACCTCTTTTTCTGTCTTCTTGTACTGATCTAGGCTGGAAAAATGTCTCACTCTGACGTTTAAAAAACGTTTCTTTGGGATTTGGTCTGTTACATTTTATATGTCTTTTTGGAAGGTTTTGGGAGCATGCACTGTACTGCTTCCTGCTGCTCTGATATCTTGGCTCCACCTCCCTGCTGCCATCTTCTGTACATTTCTTTTAAAAATTAGAGTCGGTCAGTGATTTCCACATGGATCCAAATTGGTTTTTCCTTTGCCTTCTCACTGGACTTATTTCTCTTTCTTTATTCAGAATTTTATTCTTGAATGCTTGCCATCTCTTATGGGCTTACATCCCTTGAAGAATTTTAGTATATGAGAATCCACAGTATTCCTTCTCTGTTCTGAAATCTAGGGTGCATATGAGAGTAAACTTAACTTTTCTTCTCCTTTATCACAAATCATGAAATTGAGTGGTCACTTCTCCAAGGTTTTTGTTACTTCTATTCCAGCAAGTTACTCCTCTATGTTGGTGTTCAGGATCAGGTCCAGAATACTCAGTGAGTCAAATCAGTTAACATTAATTAGGCATCTACTATGTGCCATGCTGGGGATACAAAGAAAGTCAAAAGATGATCACAGCCCTCAAAGACTTCACAGGCTAATGGAGTAGAGAGTATAAACAACTAGGTACAAACAAGCTATAGACAAAATAAATAGGAAGTAATCAACAGTTGGAAAGCTCTACAATAATAATAATAAATAATAATAATAGCTAACATTTATAAACCACTCACTATGCATCAGGCATTGTACTAAACACTTTCCAATTATCTCATTTGATCTTCACAACAACCCTGGGAGATAGGTACTGTTATTGTCCCTATTTTTCAGATGAGGATACCGAGGCAAACAAGTTAAGTGAGTTGCCCAGGGTCATAGCTAGTAAGTGTTTGAGGCTGGATTTAAACTCAGGCCTTCTTGACTTCAGGCCCAGAACTCTATTCACTGCACCAACTAGTCACTTAATTTCTCTGTGCCTCAGTTATTTAGTCTATATAACCTGTCTCACAGGGGCATTGTGAAGTTCCTCAACCGACTCACTTCACATGAGCTACTCCTTTTCCCACCTCAACCACACATGAAGATGGTCATACCCTTGATTTTGCCATTACCTAGAAATGTTCCACCTCTATGTTCAAGAATTCTGAAACCCCTTGTCTGACCATAATCCATTGTTTTTTCACCTCTCTGCTTCCATTACAAAATCCTACTCTTTGTCCATACCATGATCTCTAATCTCTTGATCCCTAAATTCTCTCCTAAGCCATTTCCTCTGCACCAACCACCCTCTTCTCTTTTCCCCATCTTGATCCCTTGGTGAATTCACGCACACACACAGACATTTAATGAACTCCAGTGGCTCCTTGTTGCCTTCAGGTTCAAATACAACATGCTCTCTTTGGCAAAGTCCTTCATAATCTAGCCCTCTCTACCTTTCCAGTCATCTTACATCTTATTCCCCAACATGCATCCTTTGACCCAGTGACATTGGCCCTCCTCGCTGTTCCACAAACAAGATACTGGATCTCTTAGCTCCAGGCATTTATTTCTCTGGCTATCCCCATGCCTGGAACATTCCCCTATCTCATCTTTTTTTAACTGACCCCCCTGGCTTCCTTTAATTCCCACTGAAATATTACTCTTCTTTTATTGTAAACCTTCCCCAACCCCTCTTAATTTTAGTGTCTGCCCTCTGTTAATTACTTCCTAATTATCCTGTATATAGCTTGCTTTGTATATATTTTTGTTTGCATATTGTCTCCCCCATTAGATTATAAGCTCCTTGGGGGCAGGTACTGTCTTTTGCTTTTTTTTTTTTTGTATCCCCAGTACTTAGCATAGTACCTGGAACAGGGTAGGTACTTATTCAATGTTGATTGATTATTGAAGGTCAAATGAGATAAAATAGGTGAAGTATTTTATAAATGGTAACTCTTTATTATAAATTCTAATTATTATATGTGGGGGAAAATTATGTTGAACTTTCCAGCAGTTATTTAAGGATCATAATCTGTCTACCTTGTCAAAAGCTTTCCCTAATTCTAAATACCTTTCGGGATTTTTTTTTTCTTAAAGGAAATTTGAACATAACTTTGGAAGAAGGCTTCTTTCTCAATATTTGAACTACATATAACAAGGCCATCAGAATGTCTGGAGCCTCAGTGAAGGTGGCTGTTCGGGTCAGGCCCTTCAATTCCCGAGAGACCAGCAAAGAATCCAAATGTATCATTCAGATGCAAGGCAACTCAACCAGTAAGTGCAGCATTCTATTTTGTAATTATACAAATTGTATCTTCTCTCTACTTTTGCATCTATTCCCTCTAGTCCACCTAGTATAAGTACTAATATTCTCTCCCTTTGAACAATCTTTTGAATTATCCAATTAGGGACAAGGAGACTACTTGCAGCATGTTTAAATACAAGCCGTTTGATTATTTAATTATACTATTTTGAAAAGGCAGGTTGGAAAGTACATGGCTATCTGGATTAGCCTAGCTAGGATTATTAGTACATTACTAAAGTTATAAGCAGGAACAGTGTTTGAGTGCTGTGATTCATATCAATTTACCAAACACTTAATGAGTGGCTGAGCCAGACCCTCTGCTGAGTGCGGGGGTTACAAGAACAAAAAGACAGTAATCTCTGCTCTCAGGGAGCTCACGCTGTACTTGTGTGAGACTGTGAATCTTTGGAGGCTTCTGTGGTACATATTTTGATTTCTTTGTACAAATTATTTTTCATTTGCAGTTTCACATAGCAAACAGCCTTGGCAAAAGTTTTATCAGTTTTCCAGTGTCAGTGCTAAAAATTATACTTATTCCTCCACAGTAGCTGTATGAGTTCAACAACTGAGTTCAACAAACTTTGGAAAGCATTGAATGTGTCCGTAGGTCTGTGCTTCCAGGGAGATAATGACATCTAGATAAGACTAACAGAGGCAAATGACAATGATGTAACGACATGATATATAACTTCATTAGAGAAGTATAAAATAAGTGCTTTATGATGTCTGATGGGGAAAAGGTCATATAGTTATTATTTGTAATAGGCTTCTAAAAATTTACCGGAATTAGCAGATTCTCTCTATTCAGTCTTTTCCCATCTACTTATTCCTAACTTGTTATCTACAAACTTCATAAGTCTCTCCTGTCTTTAAAGAATCCTCACTAGCTCCTTTCATTCCTGCTGATTATCCTCTGGTACAGAGGTGTCAAACATGTGGCCTGCAGACATCTCTGGCCAGCAGATTAAAATGTAATAGAGAAATATTTAAGAAAGTAAAAATACAATAGAACATTATTGTTGTTCAGTCATTTTCAGTCATGTCTGACTCTTCCTAACCCCATTTGGGGTTTTCTTGACAAAGATACTAGAGTGGTTTGCCATTTCCTTCTCTGACTCATTTTACAGATGAGGAAACTGAGGGAAATAGGGTTAAGTGACTTGACCAGGGTCACACAGCTAGTAAGTGTCTGAGGCCGAATTTGAACTCAGGAAGATCAGGATAGGCACTCTGTATAGTATGGTGCCACCCAGCTGCCCTTATATAGAAAATGTTAATATCTAGTTTTCTTTTTTTAAATTTTTAAATTTTTTTTAGGCTATTGGGGTTAAGTGACTTGCCCAGGGTCATAGCTAGTAAGTGTTAAGTGTTTGATCTGAGGCCGGATTTGAACTCAGGTCCTCCTGACTTCAGGGCCGGTACTCTATCCACTGTACCACCTCGCTGCCCCAATCTTTGGTTTTCTAAGTCAATATACCTGCAGGGATCCTTATCTATGGTCAATATCCCCCACTCCTTTCTATTTGAGTTTGTCACCCACTATTTATTCTAGTATGTATCCTCTCCTCACCTAAACTCCTTGAAAAAGTCTTCTACACCCTGTGCCTCTACTTCCCCTACTCTCATTCTCCAGCTTTCCAAAGTCCAGCTTCTGACTTCATCATCCACTGAAACTTTTCTCTCCAGTGTTTACGGTGATCTCTTAATTGTTAAATCTAATGCCTTGTTCTTAATCCTAACCTTTCTTGATCTCTGGACCACTTTTGATATTGCTGATCACTGTCTCGTCTTATTCTCTTCTTTGGGTTTTTATGATTCTGCTCTCCCTGGGTTCTCTTCCTACCTGTTTGACCACTCCTCAATCCTCTTTGCTGGATCTTCATTCAGGTTTCCACCACTAAATATGGGCGCCACTTCCGCCCCTCCACCCCTGCCACATGTATCTGTGCCTTCTTTTTCCCTGGGGTCTCATTTGGTGATTTTATCCACATGCCTGGATTCACTTAATGTGGCATGGAAAATTTCCCTCTTTATCTAGCCTTAGTCTCACTCCTGAGCTCAAGTGTCACCAAGTACTCATTTTAGATTTCAAACTAGATGTCCCATAAATATATCAAAATCAGCATGGCCAAAACAGACAGAACTCATCTTTCCCCCCAAAACCTGCCCCACTTTTGACTTCTCTGTTACTATCTAGACCACCACCATTCTCTCAGGTTCAAAACTTTGGAGTCATCTTCAACTTGTCTCTTCATTCTTCCTCAGATCTCACATGTTTGCACCTCCATGTACTTTCTCAGTTGATAACATTACCTCATATTTTATTGAAAAAATTGAGGCCAGCCACTATGAGTGCCCTCTTTTCTCCTCTTCCTCATGTCATATCAACCAGATGTCTTCTACCATTATCTTTTCTTTCACCCTTGCCTCACATCAAAAGGTGACTCTTTTCCTTGCCAAGGCTAACTCTTCTACATGAATAAGTGATCTCATTCCATCCCATTTTCTCCAACAGATTGCCTTCTCTATCATCCCCACTCTCACTTATCTGCAATCTCTCCCTCCTGGCTGCTTCTCTGCCGCCTACAAACATGCCTATATCTCCCCTATGCTCAAAAAAACTCTCCCTTGATTCATTCTTCTCTGTCAATTATTGTCCTGTCTCTCCTCTTTTTTGTGGCCAGACTCCTTGAAAAGGCTGTCTACAATAGGTGCTTCCACTTCATCTCCTCTCTGTTCTTAGCTCTACAGTCTGGTTTCCAGTCTCATCATACAGCTGAAACTGCTTTCTCCAAAGTTCTTTACCTCCTCTCACATGCATTCCCTTTGCTTCACTCACAGGGCTGCTGCCCTGGGTTCAAGGCTCCTCTCCTGGACTACTGCAGTAGCCTTCTCATTGGATTCCCATCCAATCTGTCCTCTCCATAAATGCTGAAGTGCAGGCTTGACGCCCCCTCCCCCAACTCACATTTAACTCTGCTGGCTTCCTATTGCCTCTAGGATCAAACAGAAAATTCTTGTTTTATCGTTGAAAGCTCTCAGTCTGGCTCCTTCTAGTATTTCCACATCACTTGCTTCCACGTCTTCTATGGTCCAGCCGTCCTAGCCTACTGGCTCTTTCTCACAACATTCCAGCCTCACCTCTCTGGGCCTTTATTCTTGGTATCGCCTATGCCTGGAATGTTCTACCTCCTAACCTGCCTTTTAGAATCCCTGGCTTCCTTTAAGAGTTAGTAAATACCATTTGCTCCAGGAAGCCTTTCTGATCTCTCCTTCCTAATTAGGATTTAAGCTTCTCAAGAGCAAGGATTGCGTTTTCGTTTTTCTTTGTATCCCAGCACTTAATGAATACTTGATTGATTTTTAAATTTGTTTTCTACAAAGAAATACAATGAAATTAAATGCTGAAAAGTACCTTTTCCATGTTCAGGAATGAACTTCTACTTGCTCTGAGTCCATTGGCAAGTGTAGAATAGCAATAAGAGGAGTAGTGTCACCATCTTTAACTTTCCTTCTCTTAAAAAACAAAAGAAAACAAACCTACAACTCCATGAAATTTACCAATAAAACAGAAGGATGTCACTAGTTGAAACACTAGTTGAAGAAAGTTCAACTTCCTTTATTGAACATTTCCAACTACCTATTGAATATTTAGAACTGGACATTTCATAGATATCTTAAATCTAATTTCATTATCTTTCCCCCAAAACCCTCCCCTCTTTCTCACTTCTGATCATCCGTCCAAGTCAACCTGGCTTGTTACTTAAGTGTCATCCTGAATAACTTACTTCTCCCCTCCCCCCACACTTCTTTTTGATCCAGTGACCCCTAGCCTCCTTACTGTTCCAAGAACAAGATACTCATCTCTCAGATCCAAGCATTCACTTTGGCTGTTCCCCATACCTACAGTGCTCTTCCTTCTCCTCCTCTCTGCCTGCTGGTATTCCTGGCTTCCTTTAAGTCCTAACTAAAATCTCATCTTCTACCAGAATCCTTTTCCATTTCCCTCTTAATTCTAATGTCCTTCCCTCTTTTAATTATTTCCTCTTTTATCTTGTAAATGTCTTATTTGTATGAATCTGTTTGCTTGTGGTCTCCCCCATTAGACGAGCTCCTTATGGGTTGCAATTGTCTTTTGCTTAGCGTAGTGCCTGGCACATAGGAGACACTTAATAGATACTTAATGACTGACTGGATCTTGTTGGTCCAGAATGTTTTGGACCTGACTGACTCCTCAATCACTCTCAACCTTATGCTCAGTCAGTTGTCAGGTTCTGTCATTTCCACTTCGGTAACCTCTTGTATATGCCTCCTTCTCTACTCTGACACTGCCATCCCTGATGCAGAGCTTTATCACCTCATGCCTATTGGTTGGTCTCCCTGCCTCAAGTCTCTCTGTCATACCTCCAGTCAGCTGTCAAATTGAGCTCCCTGAAGTATAGGTGTGACCATGTCTCCCAACTATTCAATAAACTCTAGTGCTTTCTTCCTATTAGATCCAGAATCAACTATAAAATCCTTTATTTGGCTTTTAAGATCCTTCATATTCTGACCCCTCTTGGCCTTTCCAGTCTTCTTATACCTCCTATATACTCTGGGATCCAATGATATTGGCCGCCTTGCTGTTTCTCCAACTTGACACTCCATCTCCTCACTCTGAGGATTTTTACTGGCTGTTCCCTGTGTTTTGAATTCTCTGTCTCTTCATCTTTCTTGCCCTGTCTTTCTTTAAGTCTCAGCTAGTGTTCTGCTTTCTGCAGGAAGCTTTTCCCAGGTATACTTAACCTCTTAGACTACCCCCACATTTATTCTGTATATATCTTGTTTGTACAGAGTTGTTTGTATGTTGTCTTCTCCATTAGACTGTGAGCTCCTTGAGAGCTGGGGCTATTTGTTTTGTTTTCTTTGCCTTGTATCTCAAGTGCTTAATTAACACAGTGTAGGCACTGACACTAAATAAGTGTTAGTT